TCCTGCCTGCTTATGGATCCATTTAGTTTTCTGAGGCATAGATAGAGCAGGGTAAAGGGCCACCTTGCAGCCCCATTATGTCCATTCCACTGTACTTGGGGGTGTAGAGATCTAGGGGGTTACAGGACATCCCCATCCAAGGGCCTAGAGGCTGTAGGCAGATCTTGGCACCCCTGAGCACTACCGTTGCCCCAGCCCCTGCTTGGGGTGGGGAAGTACTTTAGAGGCTGTGGGAGATGTTGACTCTGTTGCCATGGATACTGCAAGAGAGCCAGCCTTGAGGCGGGGGTGGGAGGAGAGGCTGGCTGCTGGTTCTGCTCACCAAGCCCCCCCCATCTCTGGCATCCTTTCTCCCTAGGCCTCTGGAGTGGGGTGAGGTGGGGGGGGTCATTGATCGGGTCCCTGTAGATGGAACCCAGGGACCTGGGAGTAGCCTGACTATTCATCCAGGCAGGGTCTCACCCCTGTGGGACCAGGAGGTTCTCAGTAAGGTGTCCATGGGTTCCCCTTAATTGGGATAGCCACACATGTTCCTAGTCACCCAGTATCTCCTAAAGGGCCTCAGGGTCACCTCTAGTATTATCTGGAAATTCTGTTTACTTAGGTCTGAGAAATGTTAGGGTCTGGGTTAGGGTAATGGGGGTTTTGACTGCCAATGATAGCCTGATGCACCCCAGAGTCCAGTGGACGCAGAAGGAGAGCACTCATTGCCCCTGACCTCCCCACATACCGTGGAGCACACACTCCTATATGCATACAATAATTAAAAGATTATATAAATTTGAAGAAATGTTAGTGTATGTGGTTACTGGGACTGCCCAGAGTCACTGTGGACGTCCTCCGACCCTGTGCCCACTAAATATGAAGTTGGAAGGTGGAGAAGGGCAGATTTGCTTAGGCCTGTGTAGCAGGGCGGGGCCGGGAACAGTGTGGCTGCAGAGGGAACAGCAGGCTGGTCCTAGGGCTGGGATTTTGAGGGCTAGAGGGTGGGGGTGTCTCACAGGCAGGCTTGGGCTTATCGGGAAATCTCTTTATAGAGGAGGATTAGGTGGGATAGGAGAGTGGGGCAGTGTCTAAGGGGGTGGGTGCAGGGAAGCCAGGGCCACCCCTAGCTTTTCTGAAGCTTTTTTCTGAAGCTATTTCCAGGAGGAGAGACAGGTGGGGAAATTGGGGCCTGGGATGGGAAGAAACCTGGTCACCTGCAGGTCAGTGTGATTTGAAGCTCTGTAGAAAAGGGGGAAGGGTCAGGCCCTGTGGGGTTCAGGTGGCCTTTGAGGACTGATACCCCATTCAGCTTCTTCTTCAGGGCATACCAGCCACTAGGTTGGGTGATAATCACACCTCCACCCAGGCTTCTGATAAAAGTAACCCAGATGGGATGGGAGTTGGCAAATGATACCAGCCAGAGGCCTGGCTACCCTTTGGAGGGGTGGGTTGGTGTCTGTCCTGGGAAGTTTCAGAGTGTTGTCCTTACTCCCCAGTCTCAAGAACTCCTGAGAGGTGGGGCATAGCCAGACAGTCAGGCTCTTTGGGAAGGAGAAGGGGGGGGGGTGGTAATAGGGCCATGCTGCCCTTTTTTTGTTTGTTTGTTTTTGTTTTTTTTTTTTTTGAGACAGGGTTTCTCTGTGGCTTTGGAGGTTGTCCTGGAACTTGCTCTATAGACCAGCCTGGTCTCGAACTCGCAGAGATCTGCCTGCCTCTGCCTCCTGAGTGCTGGGACTAAAGGTGTGCGCCACCACTGCCTGGCTTAATGATTTTTTTAAATTTACTGTGTACTTGTGTGTATGGCCATGTGCGCCACAGTGCATTTGTGAACGTTGGAGGAGGACTTGGAGAGTTGGTTCACTCCTACCATGTGGGTCCTGGGAATCCAACTCAGGTTGGGGTAAGGTCTGCCTGGTGGCAAGAGACATTTCACTAGCCCACTGCCTCTCGCTTCTGTAAATGGGCAGCCCTGCCTGTCCTGGTTCATGCTCCTTCATCCAGACCTGTAGGCTCTCCCACAGGTAATCATTAGGCACCCACAGCATGCCAGACTCAGGCTGTGAAATTTTAGGAATTTAGCTGGGAACTCAGCTCACAGCTGGGCATTAGGGAGGGACAAATACACTGGGAGACCACAGTTCGGGGCAGCCCTCTCCTGGGGTAATGCCCAGTAGGGAAGGGGTAGCAGGCAGCCCACAGAGCCAAGGTTTGGACTTCATCATTGACTTCCAGCCAGGGTGGAGGTTGGCCAGCCCTATACAGCAGTCCAAGCCTCCCCCTGAGGTGGAACTCAGCAGGGTGAGGCCTGGCCTGATGGAAACTGCACCTTCAGGTCCCCCTCTGCTGGCCATTCCTCTCCTGGAGCAAGTTTACAGGATGTCACAGCCTCCATGTTTTAGAGGCTACAAAGCACATAAGGCTCTGGTGTTGTCCCCAGCTCACCCCAGCCCCGCCTGAGTCAGAGGGTCAAGTCCACAGCCACGCCCACAGGGCCCTTCCTGCGTGATCCCCACCCACCTAATCCTCCTCCTGCCTTCAGTCAGGTAGCCCAGAGCTGTAGGGGACTGCAACCTCCCCCAGGTTAACTCCATCTCCCAGCCCCCTAGGTAGATTGTGATACCGTAGCACGTAGCACAGCCAGGCCAGGCATTTGGCAAGTGTACACCCGACGTTGCGGGGGTTGGGTTAAGCGCCGCCACCGGTGTGCACACGTGCGCTCCCCAACCCCCAAGCGTGGGGCGGGAACTGGGAGGCTCCCTGCTCAGCAAAGCGACCCTGGCCCGAGCCTCTCTCTCTCCCGTGGCAGGAGCTAGGACCATGTGAGCAAGGCCGGTTGGGGCTGCCGATGTCTCCGGCTTACCACCGCCGAGCTACGTGCAGCAGCTGCGTCCCCAGCGGGCTGGCGCTGGCAGCGATCGCCTTCACTGCAACCTGCTCCTGGCTAAGTGGAACTAGGGGGCGAGAGGCGGGAACCAGCCCCGCCAGGAGGCCCCGAAAGGGGAAATAAGCTGATTACATGCTAGGGGGTGTCCCCTTTTCTTTCATCCCCTCCCCCCGTCCTCTGTCCCGCAAAATGGCGACAGGATTACATGGCTCTCTTGGACGGACATAGGACATAGTTCTGTCACTTGGGATCTGTTCCAAAGCTAGGAACCTTGCCTTATAACCAAGCACCTCTTCCCTTCAGATTGAGCCCCTTGGGTGCGGAGGTCGAGCTGGGGTAGGGGAGGAATCCTTTCTGGGGCTGTTTTGGGGCGCTTGGGCCCGCTGAAAAACATTCTTATTGTGACCGGACATTTTGCATCATTTAGGGGACACTTTAGAAATTATTAGGGCTGCTGGCTGCCGTCTAGAAACACTGATCCTTTCTCCCTTCCTTTACAGCCTAGGGTCGCAGACTTCCTGGGGTCTCAGGTTGCCTAGATGTCATGCTAAATTGGCGCATGAGGGCCCCAGAAGTAGTTTCCTGGCCTCTGCACCCCCATGGTGGGGGGCACTTGGGTGTGGTTTGCAGGGGGCCGGATGGAGATTTTTTTTTCTGGTGGCTTCCTGGGCGGTGTTGGCTGTGCCCCGCCTAGCCCTGGACCCACCCACTTCCCCTCCCCTTCCTCACTCTCTCTCCTGGGATCCCATGAGCTGCTTACTGTAAAGACGACACCAGGTCACCCTGCCTTCAGTCTTGCCTAGTATCTGTTCCCCTTTCTGGTCGCCTTTACACTTCCTTCCCTCACTTACATGAATCCTGTCTGGAGGGCCCCTGGGCTATTTTCTGAGTACCTGTTCCTCAGTGGATTAACCTGGGACCACACCAGGTGACTTCATGCTTGAACTGATGTGACTTCACAGAGGTTAGGGCTCCCGGTCACAAGGGGCTGGTTCTGCCTCCTGCCTACTCGCTACTCTGTGCAAGCAGAGTGTTACAGGGGCTTCAGGTCCACACTCTATGCACGCACTCCAACCCTTAGGCATTAGAATTCCAGGCTTTTGGGTACCCATAGCACATGGGCCCTGTCTCCAGAACTAGAGCCTAAGGCCAGCCAGACCAAGTCCAAGATACTGGGGTCCTGGGTGAATTCACTGGGCTCTTCTTGGTCATTGGAGGCCCTCCCAGGAAGATGCTAAATCACATGGCAAAGTCTGGTGTTGTGGGTGTCTCTAGGGAACCCAAGAGCTTGGATGGGGCTAGTTATGTCTGATGGGTCCTAGGTTGGGTCTGCGAGGCCACCAGGGTGGTGGGAGTGGTCTATGGAGGAAGTTGCCTAGTGGTGGCTCCTCCCAGCCCCAAAGGCAACTGCTGTGCCTGACTGGCTCTGCCCCAGAGACCACGCCTCTGGCAGTCAGCTCTCTGCACCAGCGGTTGAATTTAAACTAAGTTTGGGATTACAGCGTGGCCTTTCCTACCTCTGCTGGGGCACAAGAGTGTTGTGCTATCCCCAGCTTCAGAAACCCAGACTGTAACTAGCATGGCCTGATTATTCAAAACTGCAGATGGCCCAGGGTATAGGGGAGAGCCTGTCCCATATCCTTGTGTCCAAGGACCTGGAAAATGCCTCCCCATGGCTATTTGGAAGAAAGGGACTAAGACATAATGAGGACCTTTCCTTAGGATGAGCAGAAATGGACATAGTTCACCTCAGACATGGTGGCCTGCTCCTATAGCCCCAACACTTGGGAGGTTGAGACAAGATTGCCTTTAGGTAGTTCTAGGCTATCTGGGACTATATAGCAAGACTCTGCCTCCGCAGACCTGTGAGGACTGGCTAGGCATGTAGCTCAGTGGGCAGAGTGCTCCTCTAGCATGCAGAAGCCCTGGTTTCTGTCCTCAGCACCACGGAAGCCAGGTTCAGTGGTCTATGCCCTTCATTCTAGTGCAGGGTTGGAAGCAAGATAATCAGGCCATCTTTAGCTAAGTTGCTGGATACCCTGTGTAATTAGGGCAGCTCCTATAGGTGGGTGGCAGCCTTGGGATTTATAGGAAACCCTGTCTTTGCCCACTCACCACTCTGTCTTTTGTGCAGGTGAACGGCCCTTTGCCTGTGACTGGCCTGGCTGTGACAAGAAATTTGCCCGTTCTGATGAGCTGGCCCGCCACCACCGGACGCACACAGGCGAGAAGCGGTTTCCCTGTCCCCTGTGTACCAAGCGCTTCACCCGCAGTGACCACCTGACCAAGCACGCCCGACGCCACCCTGGCTTCCGTCCGGAACTACTACGACGACCTGGTGCCCGAAGCGCCTCTCCCAGCGACTCACTGCCCTGCAGCCTGGCTGGCAGTCCTGCACCAAGCCCTGTCCCTAGCCCAGCTCCTGCCGGCTTGTAGAGCCCTGGTCTGTCCACCCTGAGAGTGTCCTGCTTACTAGGCCTCTGCAGGGATTTCCATTAAGGGACACATCTGCCCTCTGGAGAGCCCGTGTCCTGGAGTCCCAGCCCACATCAAGGAAGCGTCAGGGGACTGAGAATGGACTTGGGTCACTGGGGGCCCCAGAAGGTGGCCTCTGTTTCTGTCTGTAAATAGCCATGATTGTCCCATCCCCTCTGTAGGGACCCCCAAGCGGGCAGTTGGCAGGTCCTACATGTCCCCTTCTGCCACCTTCTGCCTTCCCTCCTGGGTGGCATTGGGCACGAAGCCACAGTCCTGCTCCTTAATCTTCAGCCCCTAGTCACTCCTCCAGGTTGGGACACAGGTACATAGAGCCATAGGTTACCGGGGCTTCCCGTGGGCCCCGGCCTGTCCCCACCCCACTGAAAGCCATTGGCGGAAGTTCAGGGAAACGGGGGGTGCAGCTTGGCTGACCCCCCCCCCCCAACATGGGTACTCAAATCTCAGGTGTCCACAGGTTCTGCCCTCAATAAGGGCCACCCCACAGCCCCAGCCCTGGAAATATAGGAGACGCTGCAGTTTTCAGGAGAATTTAGGGTTAGGGGGCACAGGCGGAGTGTGTGGGGGTCCCCTCATAGAGCATCACCACTCACTTTGGGGTGCGGTGCTGGGCGGGTGGGAAACAAATTATTTATTGTCCTCTCTGACTATTGGCATGGGGGCCTGTTCCCCCATCTGGGTGTGTGTGTGTGTGAGAGAGACAGCGGGTATCTAATGCCTGGGGCCCTGCCTCCCCACACCAGTGGGCTGAGGGTCCCTGAGTTTGGCCTTTGGGGCATTGCGTCTCAGACAATCTTCTATAGGACCTGTGTGGTCATCAGCCTAGGGAAGTGGGGCTCTGCCCTGCCTTCATGTCCTCCACACTCCTGAGTGTCTGCAGAGGTGGTCTTGGGACTCCAGGACTGGAAGCAGGGGGCTCAGCTCCTGGGTCTTCTGGGATGGCTTGGTTTTTTTGGTTTTTTTTGGGGGGGTGGAATAGACTATTTTTTCAGGCTCCAGTTCCTTGTTTCGGGGGTCCCTTTGTGTGGCCGCCGTCCTCAGGGGTATAAGTGTTAGAGGGTAGGATGGGGAGGTCTCTCCCGGAACAGTCTGTCTTGGGGTCTGCTTCTTGCTGTGGCTTGGAGTTCCCCTTCTTGAAAGGCAACTAGGGACCCCCCTCAAGGATTTGGGGGCCCAGAGAAAGTTGGGCTGCCCCATATTGGCTGTAGGAGGTTTCTGGCAACCCCATTTGTTCCAGAATCTTCCATCATCCAATGAGGGAGGCTTTGGGTGCCACCACCTTTACCTGAGCCTACCTGGAGGGAGGCCTCCCTTCTGGAGCTGGGCTCGGAGGGTCCTAGGCCAGCTGCCCTCCCAGGTACTTCCATCCGCCCCTTCTCTTTGGCCACAGAAATGAGATGCCTTAGTTGGTGGGGTGGGGTGGGAGTTGAGGCCCCATTCTTTTGTGTCTTCTGGATGTATCTTGCTTCATCCCAGCTCCTGCTGGTCCCCTGCCCTTCCTGCAAACAGGGGAAAGGTCTGTGGTCCCAGGACCTTGGGAGAAAACTCCATAAGCAAGCAGAGCTTTCTTGGTATCCTTACCCTTCTCCTAACTTCAGGTTCTGGTTGGTCACTGGAACTTGGGTCTAACCATTGAGGGGTAGTGTCTGCGGCTCAGGCAGGACAAGCGTTCTAAGAGATTTGTTCTTTTTTGGGGGGAGGCACCCCTCCTCCATTCCGCCTGGCCTCTCACCCTTGTATTTAATTAAAGAAGCCCCCTCCTTTTTTTAAAAAAAAAAAAAACCTGCCCTGGTGTCTGTCTGATTGGTTCCCATGTCCTACCTCCACTGGTATGGTCCCCAAGGTTCTCAGTTACATCCTGGGAAAACTGAGGCAGCCTGCTGATATACACGGGTTTGGCCTAGGACCCTCTGAGGCCCTGGAAGGGGGCTGTCTGCAGCAGCTTGTGCACAACACGAAGTCACCCACGCCTGGCACAGCTGCACACCCGCCACCCTGTTACCCAGCAACCAGAGCTCCCTGACAGGGCTCCTGGGGGCGTCTGCTGCCCGCCCCCTTCCGGAGCCAGCAGGGGGAGTGGGGGTGGGGACAGACCCCTAGAGCTGAACATAGTGGAGGAACTTAATAAGCTCTTGACCAAAAGGTGCCGCAGGACCTCCCCCACCACACCATCCTATGTGGTCCCATGTGCACAGTTGAATGCCCACTGCATGCCCTCTTGGAATTAGGAAAGAGGCTGGTTCAGAAAAAGGGGTGTGAGTGAGAATTCAAGAGGCTGAGAGCTTTCAAGAAGCAGATGAGAGCTTAAATTCCTGTTTGAGAAAGATACCAGATCCAGGGGTCTGCAGAGCTGTGGGGTGGGGTGGGGCGGGGCGGGGCTGAGCTGCCCCATTGCGCCTGCTGTGCCCCACCTAGTGGCCAAGGTTAGTACTGTCCCAAGGGGGTCCACCTTCCAACCTGCAAAGGGCACTTTGCTTGCAGCTGGAGAACTTGGGTGGAGCCCACCCACAACTTAAATACGTAATCACTTCCTACTGAACACCACCGCTCACAGGAATCCATGAAGGCTCCAGCTCCCTCTTGGCTTTCTGGCCTGCTCTGGGGTTCTGGATACTTTAGCAGTGCACACTCCCAACAGTTTTAAGTTTCCTCACAGGACCCAAAAAAACCACTATCCTTGTGTGGCTCCTTGAACCGTAAACTCTGTAGATACCTCCAACTGTTATCTTCATCATGCCGCCCCTGCCATGCTCTCTCCATGGCCTGTCACAATGATCACCCCATGGTCCTTGTACCACGTTTTGAGTGGTGAGAGCTGATTAGCACTTATGAGGCCCTCAGCTGCAATAGCACCACAAATACCTATCAAAATTCCTTGCATATACTAGAGAGGGCGTCTTCCTCCCAGACGCGCCCCAGCACCTCCCTGGGGACTCTAGGCCAGTACCAACTACTGGTACCCCAACCACATAACCACATCTGCTGTGTTTCACACACCAGCTTTATTATCAGCACCAATTCTAGGACATTTTTCTTTTTCTTTCCCAGACAGGGTTTCTCTGTGTAGTTTTAGAACCAACCTGGCACTCACTCTATAGACTAGGCTCTGCCGGCCTCTGCCTCCTGAGTGCTGGGATTAATGAAGTAAAACACCACCACTACAGGACCAAAAACATTCTTTTATGCCAGAATAAGCCCTTGCCCCATGAGCTGTCATCCCTCCCCAGCCACGGTGAAGTGAACCTGCACTGCCAGTTCTGGACATTTCCACTCTATACTCTGGCCTTCTGATAGTTCACTCACTGAGCATTGTGTTTTCCAGATCCCTCCAGACCAGTGGGTCTCAGCCTCTGGCCCCGCCCCTTCAGGAATCGAATGACCCTTTCATAGGGGTTGCCTAAGACCATATTCACATTACAATTAATAACAGTACCAAAATTAGCTACACATGGTGGCATACTCCTTTAATCCCAGTACAGATGGCAGAGGCCACAACAAGCAAAACAGTAGCAAAATTACAGTTAGAGAGTAGCAACAAAAATGGTTTTATGTTTGGGGATTACCACAACATAAGGAATTGTATTAAAGGGTGGTAGCATGGGGTTGGAGCACTGGCTGCTCTTGCAGAGGTCCTCAGTTCAATTCCTGGCAACCACAGGTGACTCACAACCATCTGTAATGAGATCTGATGCCCTCTTGTGGCCTGCAGGCACACATGCAGACAAAACACTCATATCATACCTAAAAAGATACATAAATAATAAAGGGTGGTGGCATGTGTCACAGCTTTTTTTTTTGTTTAGGACTGAATAAGACAATGGTGTGTGGACCATGTACCATTCATGTACACGTGTTTAAAATTTGATTCCTGTGATTAATGCTGATGAGAACTAATATTTAAGTTCTTGGGTAGCAGTGTGTTTTTATTTCTCTTTGGTAAGCAACTAAGGATCTACTGGCAGGGCTTCCTGGTACATTCTCCATATCCCTTGCCCTTGCTGAGACTCTCCCCTGGAGTCTCCACGCCTAGGGGCATGGGTGAGTGGTGAGTGCCAGCCTGGTCTGCACAAATCCCTGGATTCCAATCTCTTCCCTGGAAAACAAAAAAAGAAAAGTAAAAACTCATTCTGGAGGCACTGTATTGCTCTCTCCTCTGCCTGTGCTTTTCACAATCATAAATGTGGCTACAGTGGGAGTGGTATGCACAGGGTTCCTAGCAGCTCTACAGGGATCATGTTCAGATCAGCCTACATTGAAAAAAAAAGAAAAAAGTCATGTATAATTACCCACAGGTCTGTCATCTTGCCCACTCAGGAGGCCAGGCAGGGTGGATGTGAGTTCAAGGCCAGACAGAAGGAAGGTGTTACCTTGCTCTGGTTATTCAGCACCAACTGTAGTTGTACAACCACAGCAAATGTGGGAAGAATTCATTCTTTTGTAGTCACTGGTTCAATGAACAGATGGACACTGTGGGTTGTCATGCTGGGTACCTGGGGACACTAGGTCTTGACTTCTAGTCTAGTGGGGGTTGGAGATGAAACACATCAAGTTAACCCTATTCTCAGACGGCAAGATATCTGGGGAAGTGCTGAGAAGTACCAGAGATAAATATTGTCAGACGGAGAAACACAGCCTAGAGCTTTGCCTGCCAGGCACATTCCATGGTTCCCCATTTTTCTCCTGCCTTGGCTGAGCAGCAGTCTCCCCAGTGTCACAGGCTGTCTTTGAGGACAGCTTACTGTTTCCTGTACAGTGACCGGCCATGGGGGTCACCTGCAGCTCCTGAGCTACATATGATACACAGCCTTTGGATCTGAAATCACACCTGGTTCTCTATGCCCTCTCATCGCTCCATTCACTCACTTATTTACAATTGTATAAATACACTTAACCCTCATTTTCACCAATGGCCTGGCACACATTCACAGGGCCGGGCTGTGGTCCCCGCCCTCCTACCCTCCCACAGGAAGTCTGCATCTGATACTAATGCGGATCACAACCCCCAGCCCCTGGCACCCACCACCTTACTTTCTGTTTTAGTGGCTCTGATGACTCCTGAGAGTGGAATTCTGGTATGTCTGTCTGAGTGTGTCTCGTGTCATGAAAAAAAAAAAATCTGGACGGTTGGTGGTGGTGCATGCCTGTAATCCCAGCGCTGTATTTATCCTTTTTTCCACTGTTTTTTTTCTTTTTCTTTTTTTCTCTCAAGACAGGGTTTCTCTGTGTGGCTTTGGACGCTGTCCTGGAACTCGTTCTTGTAGACCAGGCTGGTCTCGAACTCACAGAGATCCGCCTGCCTCTGCCTCCCGAGTGCTGGGATTAAAGGCGTGTGCCACCACCGCTGGACTTCCAGCTCCTGTTTAAAGTTCAGCTTTTCTGTGTGCATGTAATACTAGCCTTGTGGGCATGGAAAGCAGACCCTGGAATCTTGCGGGCTAGATAGCATAGCCAAAGTACTTTGGTAAATAACCTATCTTGCCTATCTTAAAAGAAAAGAGAAAAAAAAATCAAACAAACAAATGGAAAGCTACATGCTCCTCCAGCCTCTACATGTGGGTGCACAGTCCTATACCCCTCAAGCACCCCGCATCCAACTAAAATAAAAAAAAACTTTTCAGAGTGTGGCTCAGCGGTAGAGCGCTAGTCTAGTGTATCCAGGCACTGGAAAAAGTAAGAGGTATTCCGTTTGATACGGCCGGCGGTTAGGTTGGGCGTTCACTGAGACACGCGTGGGTCTCTCAATACTAAGACCCTGCCCTGGCTAGAGAGTTGGGAGTCGGCTCTGTGGTTTTGCTGTTCCTTTTTCTTTTCTCTCTCTCTCTTTTTTAGAAGATTTAATTATAGAACAGTGTTCTGCCTGCATGTAGTCTGCGTGCCAGAAGAGGGCACCAGATCTCATAACGGATGGTTGTGAGCCACCATGAGATTGCTGGGAATTGAACTCAGGACCTCTGGAAGAGCAGCCAGGGATCTTAACCTCTGAGCCATCTCTCCAGGTCGCCTGTCTGTTCTTTCACAAGACTTGGGTTCGAAGCTGGGCGTTGGTGGCGCACGCCTTTAATCCCAGCACTGGGAGGCAGAGGCAGGCGGATCTCTGTGAGTTCAAGGCCAGCCTGGTCTCCAGAGCGAGTGCCAGGATGGGCTCCAAAGCTACACAGAGAAACCCTGTCTCAAAAAAACCAAAAAAAAAAAAAAAAAAAAAAAAGAAAAGAAAAGAAAAAAAGACTTGCGCTCGACTCCCAGTACTCACGTGTGGTTCACAGCCATCTGTAGCTGCGATTCCAGGAGATCTGACGCTGTCTTCTGCCTTCAGCTAGCGTCAGGTCAGGTACACTCATGTTTGCACAAACACACATGAAAACACAAAGTAAATCGGGGGCGCGGGGGGCGGGGCGGTACTGGTCCGTAACACTCTTCTCGCCTCCGGGGGCGCCCGAAGGGATTTGCGAGGTGCAAATAAACATAGCCCGGGCCCAGTGAATACATTTTCAGTCAGGCGCGCTCTGGACAGCCCAGGCTCCTCGGGGCATTGAGTCTCAAGATAACGAGGCTGTATCCGCGGAAGACAGGTGCCGAAAGCTTCTCAGAGACCAGGAACAAGATAATTATGCTTTCTTTAGCGCTTCTCTTGTAGACCTGGGATCCTGCGTCTGCCACAATTCCGCGCGAGCGGACATTTGTAAGCAGGCGCATTTTGGGCAGCCCTTCCCGGCGTCCCTAGCGACAGCGTCCCGGGGGCCTCTGGGGGCCTCGGAGCAAGATGGCGGCGGCGGTGGGGTCCGAGAGGCGCGAGCGGCGGCCTCCGGGGCGAGTGTGAGGAGGGGTCCCGGGGTCCCGGGTAGCTCCGGGCCGGGGCCCCGCTGCGGAACGGACCATGCTACGTTCTACCGGCTTCTTCCGCTCCATCGACTGCCCTTACTGGGCGGGAGCTCCCGGGGGGCCTTGCCGGCGGCCCTACTGCCACTTCCGGCACCGCGGAGCTCGGGGCCCCGGCACTCCGGGCGGCAGCAGCGCGGCATCCCCCGCAGCAGGTAAAGCCCGTACGGCCGCGCCCGGCCCCACAGCCGGGCCGCACTGCACATTCCCCCGCGCAGCCCGGTCGCACGCCCTGACACCGACGTCCCTCCCCTGTCGCCGTCGGGATGCTGTGCAGGTGCCGCCGAGTGTAACGTAAACCCGACGGGACCGGCGCGCCCCGAGCTAGGGCACTTGGTGCAGCTGGTGCGGCTCCCCCCGCCTTCATTCCGCCCCCTTCGTGTGGAACGGGATGTCACTGCCCTCCTGTCACCGTGCACCCGGCCCTGTGCGCTGGCGGCACATCTTGTTTATGATCGCGACGCTTTCCTGGGGCGAGACCACCGCCGCCTCCAGTAGTTGGAAGCACAAGGCCCTAAGGGCACCTTCTGTTTGTCAAGCTGAAAACCCGCTTGGCTTGGATGGGTGTATAGACTTTTGGGTTTTGCAGGGAGCGTGTCGCAGTGGTTCGTGTGATGGCACTTTTGTTGTTGTTTCGAGACAGAGTTTCTCTGTGTAACCGCTCTGGCTGTCCTGGAACTCGCTCGGTAGGTCAGGCTACCCTCGAACTCACAGGGATCCGCCTGCCTCTGCCTCCCGAGTGCTGGGACTAAAGTCGTGTGCCGCCTTCGCCTGGCTGTGTGATGGAACTTTTGAAGAAGGCCTCATGAGTCGGGCAGTGTGTAGGAGGTACTGTGTTAGAAGAAAGCATTGGGAGAAGTTGGGGTTTTGTTAGTGTCTTGTTTTTACTGTGTAGGCCTGGCTAGTTTGGGACCCAGGATCCTCAATTCAACCTAGCAGGTTCTTGGATGACTCTAAATCAACACAGAGAATTTCCATTGATTTAAAGAAGTCGTTGTCGGGCTGGAGAGATGGCTGAAACTGAAAAGCACTCAACGCTTTTGGCTGGAGGGTTAGTCCCAGTACTAAGGAGGCCCAGCCAGGTGGACTTGAGTTTGAGGCCAGCCTGGTCTACATGGGGCTTGTTTTACAAAACCCATACATCCTGGGGGGGGGGCTGGGGAAGGGGGCACACTTGCTACTGTTACAGAGGCCCTGGATTGGGGTTCCCAGCATCCATGTGGCTGCTTTATAACTCATATTCCAGAGTACCTGATGCAGACTGTCTTCTGGGCACCAGACATGTATGGTGCAAATGCATACATGCAGACAAAACTCTCATATGCATGAAGTTATTAAGAAAAAAAAAAAAACCTAGAAAGTGACACTGCATTCGAGCAGTGGTGGCGAATGCATTTAATCCCAGCACTTGGGACTCAGATGCAGGTGGCTCTCTGAGTTCCAGGACAGCATGGGCTACATAGAGAAACCCTGTTTCTAGGGGAAAAAAAAATGGCACTGAGCCCAGATATGGTGACACATACCTTTAATTCTAGCACTTGGGAGGTAAAGGCAGGTGAATTTCTTTGAGCTCAGGGTCAGCCTGGGTCATGTATGTGGCCTTCTCTAAAAAAGAAAGACAGAAGACATAAGGAGGAAAAGGCTGGAGGGAGGAGGTTAGTGAATAGAGTACTGTTTAGACCTCTCTGGCGACTTCTGTTCCTTAGGAGTACCTCTCCTTTTTTATATTTGTTTGAGGCAGGTCTCATGTAGCCAGGGATGACCTTGGATTTCTGGCCTTCCTGCTGACACAGGTATGCATCATCTCCACAGTTGCTTTGTTACTGCAGCACTGGGGACAGGGCAGGACTTATATGAGAGGCAAACCTCCTCACTGACTTCATCTCTAGTTTCCAGATTGATTGCAAAAGCCACTCTGTCTCAATCTGTTTTTGTTTTTGTTTTCTTTTTTGGTTTTTCGAGACAGGGTTTCTCTGTGTAGCTTTGAAGCCTATCCTGGAACTCGATCTGGAGACCAGGCTGGCCTCGAACTCACAGACATCCGCCTGCCTCTGCCTCCCGAGTGCTGGGAGTGTTTTAACGCCCCCCCCCCCAAAAAAAAAGCTGGTTGGTAGCACACACCATTAATCCCAGCACTCAAGAGGCAGAGGCAGGAGGCCAACCTGGTCTACAGAGTGAGTTCAGGACAGCCAGGGCTACACGACAAACCCTATCTTAAAAACAAAAACAAAAAAAAAACAGGTGTTTTGCCTGTATGTATGTGAGTGTATGCACCAGATATGTGCAGTGTCCAAGAGCAACAGCTGGTGTTCTTAAGCAGTGAGCTATCTCTCTAACCCCTGCTGGTTTGTTTTTATGAGACAGGTTGGCCTTGAACTTGTGGTGATCCTCCTGTATCTGCCTCCTGAGTATTGGAAGGCCAGACATGAGCTGCCAAATTCACCCATTATTTTGAGTCTGCCCAGTTTCCCCGCACACACTGCTTAGAGCACCTTCGTCCTGTGGCTAGGCTCCTCATCTGGCCTCAGTGTCCTTGCTGTGTCAGTTGAGTGCTCGGCTCTGCAGATCTCAGCCCAGGGGTGGGCACTGAGTGCCTGGCATAGGTGGCTTCTCAGAAGCCTCAGTGCCCAGCTTAGTGGCATGCAGTATCTTATCTTACTTTTTATGGTTGTGTTTGTCACTTGTGTGGGTGTGTCTGCAGAAGCCAGAGGCAAGCATTGAATACCCTAGAGTTGGAGTTCCAGGTGGTTATAAGCCTTCAGGCATGAGGGCTGGGAGAGGAGTTCAGGTCCTCCGAAAAGCAATAAGTGCTCTTAACTAGTAAGCCACAGGGTCTCATTGTGTAGCCCTGGCTATTCTGGAACTGCCTATGTAGAACAGGCTGGCCTGGATTGACTCTGCCTTCCGAGGACTGGGATTAAAGGTGTGCACCACCACCACCACCTGGCCAGATATTCTGATTTTTAAAGTATACTTCCTCTTTGCCATGTGGGGATGGAAGCCAGAGCTTCCTGCATGGCCAGTATGTGCCGAGCTGTGCCGGGTATGGTCCCATCCCTGAGCAGTGTTGGCTCCTTAGCTTTCCTCCCCTGCAGCTCTCCTTGTGCTGTTTTGTGCCATGGCCGGAGGGTTATATTTGAGGTCTGACATTGCCCTATGCACCCAGCAGTCCCCTGGAGAAATGCATTTCATTCCCTTGTACACCCTGCTCTTTGGCTTTGGGGACAGGCACTTTTGCTGTTCCCCAGCGACCCCAAGTAGAGTCCAGCCAAGCCCTTCCTGCCCCAAGGACTGTTCTGCCGTGCTGTCCCCTCCTCAGTGCACCACAACAGCCCTCTGAGGAGGCCTGGGCCTGAACTGCTCAAATGGCTTAGCCTTGGTGGCATCCTTTGGGCTCGCTAGAGTAGTCCTCCATGGCTTTGGTGCCCACAGTAAAGCAAACCCACGTGACCGGCCATCTTCCAGTAGCTCAGAGATGCAGGTGACAGTGGTGTGGAAACAATGGGCCAGAGCCCTGCTGGGCTGGCTCTTTGCTCAGCTGGGGAGACATGGTTAGTCTGTGGAGGCATAGTTGAGTGCTATGGAGGGGCGGGGGACCAGCTGAGGGGCAAAGGGAGTTTGCTCCTGATACCAGTGAGGCAGGTTAGAGCTGGTGGGATACGCTGGGTAGTAGCCCCATGAGTGGCAGGGCTGGGCCTCATGTTTCCCTTGGGACTCCTGTTGGCTTGGGTTATTTGGGGACTGTTTGGGTATGGCTGGTATCCATGGAGGAACCGGCACAGTGGCCCTCACAGGACCCCAGGAGTCTCCACTCTTGCACAGCTCCTGTTTCTGCCAAGGGAGGTGAGAGAAGCAGATGAGAAATCAGGGTGTCTGGGCGGAGCGCTACCCCCCCCCCCCCGCCATATCTTCAGGGTCCTGGAACCTCCTTTTGAGACTCCCCAACAGTGTGGGGAGGGTGGCAGCCAGGAATTAAGTACCTGTGGTTCTACATACACCCAGCAGAAGTTGTCCCAGATTGTCTTGTGGACAGTTTGGGTATCAAGTGACAAGTCCAGGTTAGGGTTAGCGTTAGAGGGTTAGGGTTAGTGTTAGGGTGAGGGGTGGGGTTAGGGGGGTGGGGTGGGGGGGAGGGGGGGGGGGGGGCGGGGAGGGACAGGAAAGTGGCCATGTCTGTGTCCAAGTGTCTTGTGAGCCTTGAGGGTCTCTGTGGGCTTCTGGAGTCCAGCCCAGTTCCCACAGTGCACGCTTGAGCAGCAAGGGTCATAGGGGCTAAGCACTGCTGGTCTCTTCCCACCGAGCTCTAACACCCACACATGGGACCTGTGACTGCCCATTGTCCTGTCAGACCAGCCTTGGCTCACTGCCTGGAAAGACAGGGGCTTCAGGGGTGGCTTTGCTTGCCTGAATAGCCCGGGGATAGAGGGACCTCTCCCAGCCAGTGGCAACCTGCACTCCTGCCACTTTGGGTTCCTTCCCAGGGAAAGACCCACTTCTCCAGGAAACGCCAGCAGAGGGCACTGTAGGCCACAGCCTCTGGCCAGCTGCTGCCTCCCAAAGAGGGCCAGTCATGGATAGTGGGTGTGTGGAGACACCTGTGCATTGGCAGGTGAGGTGTGGCACCCTGGTCCTCCTCTGAAGTAAAGTAGCGTACCATCCTAATCCGGTTGTACACATGCTATCTGGTGGCTACCTTCTCCTTTTTCTCCTCTTCCAGGCCCAGCTCTGCCCAGCCCAGAAGCATCAGAGCTGTAGTTCATGGCCACCTTGCTGGTGGTGGGTAGCTGGTTTCACTGGTCCAATGGTGCTGGGGAAGGTGGCTTGAAGGGCAGATGGGTGTCTGGTATGAGCAGGACAGGATGCAGGATGCTTCTTCCTGCTACTCAGCTGGCACAAGTGCTCGGTGCTGTCTGGAGAGTTAGAGAGCCCCCAAGCCATCCATCCTGCGTCTGTCTTACATCTGCCTCTGGCCATGGCTCCTTTGTCTCTATCATGGCCACTTGGGCCCTTGAAGATTCAGCTGGGTACTGCTGCTTTCTGAGGTCATCGTTCATCTGGCCCTCTTGATCTGGTTCTGTGGCCTATCTGTCCTGGTGCCATTTATAGAAGGGACTTGGGATTTTAGGTGACTGCTGGTGCAGGGAGCAGCTAGAGCAGGGGTTTGCAGCTGAATCCTCTCCTCAGGACACCCTCCCACAGAGGCAGGGAGGGGCCCCAGACAAAGGTGCATTGGATCAAGCCTGTCCAGCACTGGTAGAGAGGTCTGTAAGGGGGCTGCTTCCTCCATGCCGGGTCTTAAAGATGCCTGTGGTATTACACATATGGGACCCTGAGGGAAGAAGGCAGGTAGACCAGCACAGTGGTTCTGTTTGCTTACGGGAGAAAGTCGCTGAGAGCTGAGATTTTTTTTTTTTTTTTTGGACTGGAAAGCACCATGGGAAAGGAAGGCTCCTTTCCAGGGTGATGTTAGCATGAGGCCCACCCGCCTGTCAGCTCCTCTGAGCTCTGGACTGGTGGATACCCATGGTGGCTCAGGCCTGTCCCTGCCTCAGAGAGCCCAGCATCCTAGGCATGCAAGGCAACTGTCTCCTTGCATTCCACTGAGTGACCACACCTGCCTGGAAGCACTGTCACCCTAAAGGACTGTCCTTACAGAGTCAGGGAAAGGCTCTGGAGGATGACCTGGGGGGCACATGGATCCTGGGCACATTCCTTAAGGGTGTTCGTCTTCTAGGATAGATAAGACTTGTGTACCCATGGTGAGGCTGAGGGCACTCCCTAGGCCTGGCGGCATCTTCTTTGACCAGGCCTCATACTTGTGTGCAGCTTCCCATAGCTTTCTCTGGTGACCTGCTGCCCATGTGTGTCAGCTAAGGTAGCCTTGGAGCTTGATCCTACTTGGATGACCTCATCTGTTGTCCCGTGATATTGAACTTAGGGGGATGTAGGTGCCTGGATCCCAATATAGGGTCAGCCTAGGCAAGATGGATCATAGCCCTCTGTGGGGACCTTGGGCAGTGTGACCATCTACTCTGGGGCTGGCATTCAGGACTGTGCCAGTCAGAAGCTTTCTGAGACAGCCCAGAGTGGGTGGGTGCTCCCAGAACCTGGGCCAGTACCCTGGACCATACTGCCCATACTCTGCCTTTCCTTTCCTACAATATCTGTGAAGCATCCTTGGCCTCCAAGGCTGGGAGCTCCTATCAGCCCAAGGCTGGGCTGGATCCTGCACACTCCCTTGGCCTTTATCAGTCCTTTGGCCTTGAGTGGAGACTGACTTCCTGTTAGCAGGAGAGAAGCCCAGTGAGATGCTGCCTCTGTGAGACTGCACTGCCTCTGGTGTGGCCTGTTAAAGACCCACCAATATGTAGACAGGGTTTCCCAGGAAAGCGCTGCTTGGCTGGGCTGGGCCACTCCTCCCACAGGCAGTCTTGAGTTTCCACCGGGTGTCCTGCTCCAGCCTGAGGACACACGTTTCCTGTCCCGTGGTCTGTCAGCAGGGCTGGTTGGGGAGTGATAATGTGAGCCTCCCCTGCAGGTGGAGGGATTTCCAGGAGCAGAACCTTTGGGGGCTCTAAGTTACCTGTGTGGCCCAGCCCCTACCCAGACACGACCATGTGCGTCTACATTTACACAGAAGGGTCCTCCTTTGTCACTGGAGATTTTTTGTTTGTGTTTTTTTCGAGACAGGGTTTCTCTGTGTAGCTTTGGAGCCTATCCTGGCACTGGCTCTGGAGACCAGGCTGGCCTCGAACTCACAGAGATCCGCCTGCCTCTGCCTCCCGAGTGCTGGGATTAAAGGCGTGTGCCACCGCCGCCTGGCTGTAATGAGATTTGAGACCCCATCTCATTATGAAGTCCAGGCTGCTGTGATCCTCCTGCCTCAGTGCTAGGGAAACAGGTGTGTTTACTCCTGGGGTCAGCATCTGTTTTAGTGATGTGCGTGCATGGGACAAAATACCTGACAACAGCAATTGAGGGTTTATTCTGGCTCACAGCTGGAGGCTGCGGGCCATCACAGCAAAGACAGATACCGCAGCAGGCAGGGTGGCAGCTGTTCATTGAGGCCACAGTCAGAAAGCAGACATAAATGCCAGTGCTCAGTCTAGGTGATGCTGCCCCTAAGTGTAGAGCATGTCTTTCCCTCAAAGAAATCAATCTAATGTTCCAACCCAGAGGCTGGTCTCCCTGGTGATCCTCTTAAGGTTACAATGCTGTGTGTGCCAGGGTCCCCTCTCCATGTGCCCTGAGTTCCTGTGGAGTTTCTCAAGCTTTCACAAGGTCTTTCAGAAGACCCTACCATGCTGGGCATTGGTGGCGCACGCATTTAATCCCAGCACTCGGGAGGCAGAGGCAGGCGGACCTCTGTGAGTTCGAGGCCCGCCTGGTCTACAGAGCGAGTGTCAGGATAGGCTCCAAAGCTAAGAAGAAGAAGAAGAAGAAGAAGAAGAAGAAGAAGAAGAAGACGACGACGACGACGACGACGACGACGACGACGACGACGACGACGACGACGACGACGACGACGACGACGACGACGACCACCACCACCACCGAACCTCACGAGGAGGGTGGGGCAGGATCTAGGCCCCAGGATGGTAGCACCAGCATATATCTTCAGCTGTGGGTCCCTCAGGTTCAGGTCACAACTTTGAAGGCCACCCTCAAAGTGCCCATGTTTGAGCTGCAGACAAGCTCCTGGTAGCTGTGTGCTTAAAGTCTAGACCTGCCAGACATGGTGGCTCCGTCACTTGTCGTTTCAGTACTTGAGAGGCTGAGGCAAGAGACCCTGAGTTCCCATACAGCCTGAGCTAGAGTAAGACCTTGTCTCAAAGAAACAAAGGAGCAAACAAAAAAACCCATTGGATTGCTCAGCACTTGCCCCCAAGCCAGAGGACACTCATCTGGATGCCTGGAACCTATGCGGTAGAGGGAGAGGACGGACTTGAGCTGTCCTCTGCCCTCTACTTGCAAACGTTCTAGTAAATAGAAAGTCACTCTCCACATAACAAAGCAGAGGAAGTGAAGTGTTCCTTGTCTGGACATCCTCCCTTCCTGTGCCCACTGGGCCTACACTGGGCTTTGCTGCAGGAAGCTCTGTGTGTAATGTTCCTGTTCCTGTAGCTCTGGCTGAATGCTCTAGTTCCTAATTTTACCCACTCCTTTCTCCTTATCTCCCGCTTCCCCTCCCAGGGGCTTTGGGTGTGCTAGGCAAGTGCTTTGCTACTAAGCCCCTCCCCCTTTACCTTTTCCTTCTGAGACTGGGCATTCCTGGCCTCAGCTGGCCTTGAGCCTCTGATCCTCCTGCCTCAGCCTCCAGCATGGCTGGCCCACTGCCTCTGACCACTGGTATGCTACTTTCTAAGAACTAGCCAAGTCTGGCATCTCTCTAGCACCCAGGAGGTGGAGGGGGAGGTTCAGAAGTTCAAGGCCATCTTCAGCTGCATGTTCAGGCCAGCTTGAGAGGCCTGAGTTCCCGCCTCTTTCAGATAACTAAAGAAACAGTGAGAAGCAGCTCGCCTGATTCCCAGTTTCCCCAGTCCCTTCCACAGGTCAGTGTGTGTGGCTAGTTCCCAGCCCATGCTGGCTCTTGTCCCGGAGCTCCTGCTCTAGGCTCCCAGTGAGCATCCCATCTTGTCCCTTCAGGTTGCAGATGTGAACTCCCTGCTGTATCCTCTCATTATGCTGCTTGGACAGAGCTTGGATTTCAGGGTGTTAGCCTCAAACAGCTATGTGAGTGTCTCAGGAGAACTGAAAGGCTGACCGCGGGCCAGCCTGCCACCAGGGCCTCCTGCTTCACCCTGCCCATGCAAGAGGCTGCTTCCCATGATCCCCAGTCCCACCTCCCCCTAGGGACAGGACAGGATGTCAGTTGGAGGCAGTCACAGGAACTGCCACATGGTCACCTCATGGGCTTTCTGTGCAGGTCTGAGATGCCTGACTGTTCCACAGGGCTGCACAGGCTGTTGAGAAGCCAATTGGTTTGTAACAAGCGCACCCTGCACCTCAGTTGGGTGCCCCCCCAGCTTCCCTTGGGGACAGTGCTTAGAAGAGGGATATCAGTAGGATGCCTTGACCCCTCCTCTCTTCCAGATAAACATGGTTGGGGGTCATACAATTCTTGCTTGTACTGGTGGGTCTGCACCATAGTTACCAATGCCTTCTAAGGCTTTAAAAAAAGATTTTTACTTTTAATTATGTGTCTGAATGTGTGGTGAGGGATGTGCATGTGAGTCAGATGCCCGTGGCGGCCCCTGTGAAGGCCAGAGGTGAACTGGAGATGTAGGGTTGTAAGCCGCCTGCTGTGCACAGCAGGGGCCTCCACAAGTGCAATGCAAGTTCTTATTGTCACCTCCAGCCCCTCCTCTTCAGGTCCTCTGTGAAGAAGTAAGGTGCATGAGGAGAGGGTGCTTGCTCAGTGAAAGGTGATACCCCAGAAAAGCTGGAGTGACCCCAGCACTGGGGAGCTTGAGCTGACCCTCCAACCAAGTGAGACCCACTTGGCTGGGGACAGCGTTGCAGGCCAGCCAGAGCCTTGAGCTGTGGGGGTTAAATTCCAAGTAGGGTCTGTGGGTAACATGTCCACCTTGGTGGTCTCCAGGCCATGCCAAGAGGTCCTTGGGAACCTCGCTTCTCTGCACCCACTTTGATGTAGCCCAGGCTAGCTTTGAACTCACTATGTAGCGAAGGGTTACTTGATCTCCCTCCTGCCTGTCCTAGAGCTGCATGATGGCATGAGCCACCGTGACTGGTTTATGTGGCCTTGGGGTGAAGCCTGGCATCCCAGGCAGTGCTCTGCCTACAAAGACCCAGACTCATCCCACACCTGCACGCACACATACATGTACCCATCTGTGATCCTCTGCACATACAGGTCCTGGCATAGGGCAGGGGAACCCGACACAGCAGTGTCATGCTGTCAAGGTGGGGATGTCCTCGAGGCCCAAGACTGGTATGCAGTAGGTTGTTCAAAGCTGGTTCTCTTACCTTGTTCATCTCCAGCAGGCCGGCTCAGTGGTCATTCCATGTTCTCTTCCCTTCCAGGGCTTGGCTATGACCCGTACAACCCGGAGCTGCCTCAGCCTCCTGCACAGAGAGAGAATGATGGCATGCTGGAGCTGGAGCTGGTCAACCAGGCCATCGAGGCTGTGCGGGGAGAGGTGGAGCTGGAGAGGAGGCGCTACCAGGAGCTCCTGGGGACTGCACGGGGGCACGGTGCCGGCGCCTCCACCCTGGCGCCCTGCAGCCCTCCTGCAAGCCTGGATGACGACGATACCTTCTCCCTGACTCTCACCTATACACCAGGTGGCCTCCTAAGCCCAGACTCGAGCTACCAGCCCACCCCACTGGCTGCCCCTGATGATCCAGGTCATAAGTACTCACTGGTCCCTTCAGAGAGGGGCCAGGGCAGGGCTGGAGGGGGCACCAGTGCCCTGGAGTATGTCCCCAAGGCTGTGGGGCAGCCACGCCACTCTGGCCGCCCTGTGTCTGGTGGCAAGTACGTGGTGGACAGCTCAAAGCCATCAACAGATCTGGAGTATGACCCACTGTCCAACTACTCAGCCCGGCATCTCGGCAGGGCCAGTGTCAGAGATGAGAGGGCCACCAAGCGGCCAAGAGGCTCCCGGGGTGCTGAGCCCTATACACCTGCCATCAAGAAGCCCTGTGATCCCTTCGGTGGCTGTGAGGCCAGATTCTCAGACTCAGAAGACGATGTGGCCGGACCGCCTGAGGCTGAGAGCAGCAGCCCCATGGTACCTGGGAAACCTGCCTCCAAGGACGGCCCGAAGCCCAAGGAGGGCAGTCTTCGGGACACCAAGGAGATGGCAGTGCAGTATGACGTGGAAGACCTCGGGCAACCTCCCAGAGCAGCAGACACAGTGGCCTTGGCCAAGCTTGGCTCCCCAGCTAGGGCCTCTCAAGTTGCTGGGGTCCCCAAGGATGGCAAAGCCAAGAAGAAGAAAAGTGGGATACCAACCAGCCTCAGCCACAAAGACAAGTCCCGTAAAAGAGACAAGAAGAAAGACAAGGACCCAGGACGGCCCCGGGAGAAGGAAAAGGCGTATACAGACAGGAAGAAGTCACAGACTGGTAGCCCCCGGGGCAAGGCCCAGGGCCCTGAAGGGACCAAGAAAAAGCCATCCAACATCACCATGGTGGCCAGCTCAGGGAAAGAAAGACCGGGCTGCCCCTCCAGTGGAGGGCCCCAGCCCCAAGACTCTGGGCCTAGTCCCCACACACTCCTGGCCTGGAAAGGTGGGAGTGCCAGGAAGACACCACCAGGCAAGTTAGTAGACCGGAAGGCCCGCTCCCTGGATGGGGGTGCCCCGCAGGGTGCCCCTAAGCTCAAGAAGCGGGCCCTGAGCCACGCTGAGTTGTTTGGGGATGAAAGCGAGGAGGAGGAGGACTCAGGCCTAGGGCCCAGGGCACCCCGGGTCTGGCCTCCCACCCTGCCCACCCTCAGCTCAGATTCAGACTCAGACTCTGACTCCAGCCTGGGCCTGAGTGAGACGCAGGTGCCCAAGCGTCTCAAGGCCGCGCCACCCACATCCCCCGCACCGCCCTCCCCCTTGTCCTCCTCCTCCTCCTCCTCCTCGGGAACCAGCCAGTGTGCAGAGGGGGATGTGGACTACTCAGCCCTGGAGAAGGAGGTCGACTTCGATGCGGACCCCATGGAAGAGTGCCTGCGGATCTTCAATGAGTCCACCAGTGTGAAGACGGAGGACAAGGGCCGGCTGGCCCGGCAGGTGAGGGCGCTGGCCTTGGCAGGAGAGGGCCCAGAGAGGGGACACTCCCTCCCACAGCCATCCCCATGTGACCCCAGCCTCTGACCCAGGCAGAAGCCGCGCCTTCAGCACCGGCCTCTTAACTCCATTCAAAATTCAGGAACCCTCGGTGGCCGCCTGCTGCCCCCCTGCACCCTGCCCAGAGCGAGGATGCTGGCTTTCTACCCACCCAGCCGGCTTCCCGTGGCAGCGTCCGACTGACCGTTCAGACTGACCGGCAAAGGGGTACCGGGCCCTCCCGCCCCATGCCTGCCTCACACTTCCTGTCCCCAGCTCCTCGGCCTTTCTTGCCCCTCCCCAACTCTTGCTTCTTCTCTGGCCTGTATTCCTCTTCTCTCCTCCTTGGCTTGCCTGGCTCAGGCCAGCCTTGACCCATCTGGATGTCCCTCTTCCAGTGTCCCCATGCTGACCACCAGGGGGAGCTCACCCTGAACAGACAAAGATGGACTTGGCCAGTTCCCTCCAGCACCAGGCCAACGGGATGCCCTTGACTGGCATTCCATATCTGAGCCGTCATCCTGGGCTGGGTGTGGGGGCAGCAGCAGGGGCTGTGCCCACTTGTCCTCCTGTCCACAGAATTGCTGCCTGGCCTAGGAGGCAGGTGCTGGGGCGGGCCTCGGGCCGCAAAATGCTGATCCTGGGTAGGGCTCTCACTTGCAGGACCATTTGAGGTCTGGTGGTGGTGACTTGAGGCTGGGTGGAAAGGCAGGGGTGTGCCCCAGGGAGGCACCGGAGTGAGGAGTACATGTGTGTTTCCAGCCCCCCAAGGAGAAGGCTGTGGAGAAGACGCATGCGGGCCTGACCACTTTGTTCCCGGGACAAAAGAGGAGGGTCTCACACCTCTGCAAGTCAGGCAAGGAGGTAAGACCCAGATTTGGGGATAAAGGCGGGCAGCTGGAGCAAGAAGGCCTTACACCTGTCTGGCTCCCAGGTCCCCTGCTGCTGGCCTTTGTAAGCTGGCATCTTGTAGAAAAGCATGCCCTATGCATTACCTGTCCCACTGTCCCTGTGCCTCGGGAGGAGTGGGACGAGTCCTGGTGGGTATCGGAGCTGAGTGGCTGTCCAGCTTCTGAACTTAGGCTACCTGAGCTGAGGCTGGAAGACAGCACACCAGGAGAGGCCTGTACAGGGCTGTTACGACCATCTCAGGCACACATAAACCTTCAGGACTAGTCCTTAGAGCCTCCAGGAGGTGGGACAGGGTCCCAGATGCAATCTCCTAGGAAGGTTTCATTTTCCAGGAGACATGTGCAGACAGGACACGGGCCGCTGCCCCTGCACTTTGGACAGTGGGACCTTGGGATTAGAAGCCAAGGGAGGCTGAGATGGGAGAGTCCTCCCCATCCTGCCTTGAGTGCTCTGGACTCAGAGCTGGGCTCCAGGACCTGTGTTCTTTCAGGCAGAGGCCCCAAAGAGGGCCCCTGTGGCTCCCCCAGCGCGGCCCCCGACCGCCCAAGAGGTCTGTTACCGGCGAGCACAGCAGGCTCAGAGAGACTCCACCAGCTGGCTACAGGCTGCCACCAGGCCAACTGACAAGCTCTCCTCTGTGCATATCTCGGCCCCCGGGGAAAAGAGGAGGATTGCTCACGTACCCAACCCCCGCCTGGCCACCAGTAAGTCCTGCCCCCCCCCCAAGACTCCCCAGTCCTAGCATCTGGGACACAAGGGGAAGCAGCACCCTGCGAATTTCCCTGATGTACTTGGCCTTGAGCACCACCCTCCAGGGACCTTGGTGGCTGACAGTGGAATAGGACAGGATGGCCCGGAAGACTTGGGAAGCTGGAGGCTAAGGGTCAGTGGGGACTAGCCCAGCCCAGGGGCCACCAGTGGGACTTGCCTGGGCCTACCTGGAGTGGGCAGTAGCTCTAAAGATCAGGTGTGGGGTAGTCCTGTCCATGCTGAATGGTGGTCCCAGCCCAGGAGGAATAGCCCTTGAGAACACACCCTGCTGAGGTCATCAGGACTGCCTCTTACAACTCCCAGGGAGAGCTGTGCCATGACAGGCCACTTCTCACTAGTCACAGCATGGCTGGGCCTAGGCCTCTCCCTGCCTTCTCCAGGGCTCTGCTCCCTGGGATTCTCTGTTCCTGTTCATGTCCATGGCACAGCCTGGTTGGAGGCTCCTGGGCCTGGCTGCAGCAGGACTTGTTAGGGGCTGCTGTGGTTCTGCAACTCTCCTTGTCCTCCAGATATGCACTTTGATATGCATATGCACCTATATATGCTATAGCTTGCTCACAGGGCTGCGTGTGCAGATGTGCCTTCTACCCTGTGAGGCTGAGCACATGGAGACCCCCTCTTCCCTGTGAGGCTTAGCGCATGGAGACCCCCCTTCCCTGTGAGGCTGAGAGCATGGAGACCCCCCCTTCCCTGTGGAGTGAGAGCATGGAGACCCCCCTTCCCTGTGGAGTAAGAGCTTGGGGAGCTCCCTCTTGACAAGTACGGCTTTGGGTTGGCTCCAGGAAGGATGGGAACCTGGTCTTGTCCCTGACCCCTGTCCAGAGACAATCCTGACTAGGGGCAGATATCTGTAGTCTCTTCTTCCAGGGGCTCTGATGGTCAGGCACCCGCACTCCTGCATGGACAATCAGGGGGGAGCCCTGGCCACCCACTGCCAGGGCGGAGACTGTATGGTTTGTGACCTCATTACAGAGACAGGCAGGTAGCTTGTCACAATGAACAGACCAGGGCATCCCAGGCCCTCTGGTCCTGTGCCTAGGAGCCAGGGCTACCCCTCAGACGTCAATGCCTCAGAGTTGGGGGCTGGAACATGCGGCAGAGGCCCCGACCACGCCCAGCCATTCTCCAGACTGCCCTGACCGTGGCGTTGCCTGAGCCGGCCTCCACAGCCGTGTTGCCCTCCCCCACCTCCATGGACTTGCCCCAGAGCAGCTAGAGTCCCATGTCCTTCCGCACCCCAAGCTCGGTGCCCCGGCCCCCGATGCGCTGCGAGATGCGTGTCCTGCTCACACTCAACGACCGCAGCTTCCTGGTGCTCCGCAGCTCCGTCATGGGCCTATTGTCCTCCTGTACTCATGTCCCCTGTCCCCCAACAGCCCCCACAGGTGCCAAGAGGGCGCTCCCTGCCAGCAGCAGCCAGGTGTCCCACGGTCCTGAACCTGGCAGCCAGCCACTGAAGACACGCACGTTGTCAGGGATGGCATCTAAGACCACCACCACTGTCATACCCAAGCGCATCGCCCACAGCCCGTCACTCCAGGTACCCTGCACCCAGCTGGTACCTTCCTGGCCTGCTCACAGAACTCTGAGGGACCAAGTACTACACTCTGCTCATATTGTTCCCAGTAGGGTTCTGTGTTGACCTTATGGGACGGACCCGAGTTCATACAACCTGGGCAGGATGCCCAAGCCATGTCCCAGCCCCTTACTGGAGGAGTTTAGGCAGCAGCTCCACCCCCGAGCCACCCCCACTTCCTCTACTTCACCCCGCCCCCAGCCTTTTCCTCTAAAACTCAAGGCTGGGCTCATGCTGTGGACAACCCATTCCTATCTTCTCCAGAGGCTCTGAGTCCTAATACACATACACCACCCACACACACCTGCACACATACACACACACACACACACACACACACACACACACACACACACACACACGCACACAGACACAGACACACACACACACCACACCACACAACACACACACACACACAAGCACAAACATACACACACATGGTCTCTTTCCTCTAGAGTCTAAAGAAGCCCATTATCCCAAAAGAATTTGGTGGCAAGGTCCCCACTGTGGTCCGCCAGCGCTATCTCAACCTGTTCATCGAGGAGTGTCTCAAGTTCTGCTCGTCCAACCAGGAGGCCATCGAGAAGGTGGGCCCTGGGTGCACATTCCCTCAGCAGGCACAGCAGGGAGCTTTGGTCACTGTGGCCTTGGGCTGAAGCCAGGAAGGCCCTGTTTATCTCCCTGGCTCTCATCTAGGCATCTTGGTCCAAACTGACTACTAGTACCACTTCCTCGTGGGTGGTAGGGATGTATGCAGGGCTCACCCTGGTACTGCATCCTGTCCCAGTTTAGCTGGCCCTCCTGTTCATGCTCCTGGTGCCATTGTGTCCTATCCAGGCCCTGAATGAGGAAAAGGTGGCATATGAGCGCAGCCCCAGCAAGAACATATACCTGAATGTGGCTGTCAACACCCTTAAGAAGCTGAGGGGCCTGGTCCCCAACACCGTGCCCAGCCTCAGCAGTGAGTGGCAGCTATGCAGGGAGGGTCCTGCCCAGAACTGGGTATTCATGGGCTGTAGCAGCAGGGACCATCCCTAGTACACCACACGTAGGCTGCTGCCTGGGGTCCCTTCCCTCTGCTCTCTTCCTCCTTTACTTGTGGGGCCTCCGCTAATGGTGCCCTCTTCACAGTGAGTGGCTGAGCTCCGTGCATTTGCTAGGGGAGAGGGTTGAGATGTTTATTGTGACCCTTGCAAGGCAGTCACACAGTGATCTTGCTTCCAGTGCGGTCCATGGCCTCCATTACCTTCTCGCCCACCCACTGGAGGGGTCTGGGTGGTCTTTGTAGGCAGCAACAGCTCAAAACCTCAAACTCCATTAATTATCTGCTTGAGTAGCTGCAGCATGCCCCTGCCTCACCTTCTGTTCACTCAGAGCATGGGTGGGGGAGCTGCTTAGCCCTGGGGTGACTTGTCCTGAGTTTCCATGACCCCAAGCAATGCCTCCCTTTTCCCAGCGGAGACTCTGTAGGCAGCACAAGGTCGTGTGTATGCCATTGTTATACAGTGTATTCAGGGGACAGTTGTGCAGCAACTGTGAGGACTGAGGACTGAGACTGCAGCTGGCTCACCCCTCCCTGGCTTCTCCGTCCTTCCTTCTAGAAGCCAGTGGCCGCAGGGTTGTGTCCCACGAGGTGGTGCTGGGGGGCAAATTGGCAGCCAAAACCAGCTTCTCACTGAGCCGCCCCAGCAGCCCACGGGTGGAGGAGCTGAGAGGGAACGCCCTGTACAGCCGTCTCAGGGAGTACCTGCTCACTCAGGAGCAGCTCAAGGAGAATGGCTACCCCTTCCCCCACCCAGAGCGCCCAGGGGGCGCCGTCATCTTCACAGCTGAGGAGAAGAAGCCCAAGGACTGTGAGTCTCTTCCAGCTGTGCCCTCAGCCAGGATGACTGGGTGGGGAGCTGCCCGCTGAGTTGGGGCATTGTGTTCAGGGGTGCTGGGTGCCAGCCTCTCACCCACGTGCCCTCTGCCTGTCTGTCTGTCCTCACCCACAGCCTCCTGCAGAATTTGCTGTCGCTGTGGCACAGAGTACCTTGTGTCCTCCTCAGGCCGCTGCGTGCGCAATGAGGAGTGTTACTACCACTGGGGACGGCTGCGGCGGAACCGAGGTGCGGCTTGACCACTGTTGGATAGCCAGCCCTGTCCACACCCTGCTGGCCATGCAGACCCTGTGTCCACCCCTGCCCCACCTATGTGTGAAGGCCCTGGCCTTCGTAATCTAGATTTTCCTTCAAGAGCATAGGACCTGCTTGTCTCGCACTCCTGCAGTGTCCCCAAGGAGGGGCCTTCTCCAGGCCTCCATCAGTTTGATACACTGTTGGCCCAGATCCCTTCCCTGAATACTGGTCCATACGGGTGGGCAAGTTCCCTGCCTGGTGCCCTGAACACCATTGCTCTCTCTTACCAGTGGCTGGGGGCTGGGAGACCCAGTATATGTGCTGCTCAGCTGCAGTCGGCTCTGTGGGCTGTCAGGTCGCCAAGGTAAGTCCTGCTGTGTGCCATTCCCTGCTCTTGGCTTCTGTCTTGGTCACTGCACTAGGGTTGAGGGCAGTTGAGTGCTATGTTCAAGCTTGTCATCTGGCCCACCCAGCCCTTCCAGTCAGGAGCGCACTGGGCTCACCTGCCTCCACAGGCACCTGGCCCAGACCTAGCCAGGGCAGGGAAGTCCCCATGTGTGGCCTGTGCCAGCCCTGCTGCTGACCTCCCTGTTCCCCAGCAACACGTGCAGGATGGCCGGAAGGAGAACCTAGAAGGCTTTGTGCGCACCTTCCAGAAGGAGCTACCAGAAGATTCCCACGCCGGCGTCTTCGCCCTTGACTGTGAGATGGTGAGTCGGGTCTTAGAGACTGGTCCACTCTGGGAGGATGAGGAAGTGACACTGGCTGAGATGCAAGGCTTTCACCAGTGACAAATTTTGATGGCCATTTTACACTATCAGGCTAGTGTCCTGAGGAGGGGGGGGCTCCGCCCACTTGAGGGTTCTCTGAGTTCCCAGCCTGTACCTCCCTTCCCCAGCCTGTCCCTCCCTCTGCTGCTGTGGCTCCCCTGCTGTCCCCCACAGGGTCGGCAGCAGCCATGGCTACCCACGCAGGGGAGGTGGGCTTGGGAAGCCAGCTGCATCTGGTGCTCATTTCATGCCTGCAGTCCTACACTACATATGGCCTGGAGCTGACCCGAGTCACAGTCGTGGACACAGATATGCAGGTCGTGTACGACACCTTTGTCAAGCCTGACAATGAAGTTGTCGACTACAACACCAGGTGTGTCCCGGCCTACCGCGGGACCCCAGCCTCGCTCCTGTCCTGCCCGGCCCGACGACCCTCTTGCATCCGGCCCTCTGCAGGTTCTCAGGGGTGACAGAGGCCGACCTTGTGGACACGAGTGTCACACTGCGGGACGTGCAGGCCGTCTTGCTGAGCATGTTCAGTGCTGACACCATCCTTATCGGACACAGCCTGGAGAGTGACCTGCTGGCCCTCAAGGTAGCTATGCCTGCTCCGTCTGAGGATGGGAGGCCCTGCCCACCAGGTCTTGTCCACCACCCACCTGCCTTCCTGTAGGTTATCCATAGCACGGTGGTAGACACGTCAGTGCTGTTCCCACACCGCCTGGGTCTGCCCTACAAGCGCTCCCTGCGGAACCTCATGGCCGACTACCTCAGACAGATCATCCAAGACAATGGTGAGGGGTCCCAGGGTTGGGGTTGTGGGGACATACAGGAAGTCAGGACTGTGCTGACCATGTCTGCTCTGCAGTGGATGGGCACAGCTCCAGTGAGGATGCCAGCGCCTGCATGCACCTTGTCATCTGGAAGATCCGAGAAGATGCCAAGACCAAGCGATGACCCTCCCACCTGCCACCACTAACCATACCAACCCCTTCCTACATCCCTGGCTGCCCTCAGCCCTGATGCCCTCGGCCTCTTTTCAAACTGTGTAATAAAACACAACAGCTGACTGTGCGCCTCCCGGGCTTGGGCTACAGGTCTGGAGTGGCCCTGAGCTGGGGCTGAGACCAACCCCCCTGAGCCCAGCCCCACACAATCCTACATGTCCCGCCCAGGCCTGTCCCCTGGAGCCTGCTGCTGCCCAGGGCAGATTTGGCCTGCACCCTGTGCCCAGTCAGCCCACCCCTACCTTCCACTCCTTTGTATATAATGCAGGCGACAGGACAAGCCCTCATGGTTTGAGACGGGTTGTCTTTTTTTACTTTATACTGTTATTTGTATTAATTTTTAATTTAAACCTGCTGACCTGCACAGCCCCTCAACAGAGGGGTCCATCCCTGGTGCCGTTGGGATCCAGGGGCTGAACCCTACAGTCAGCCCTGTGGGCCTGGATGTCTGCCCTGCCTTGTAGGGTGGCTTCCAGAACTCATCCCAACTCACCAGGACTCCCCAACCTCAGAGCCAAGCCAGCCCCAAGGCCTGGCCTTCCAGGCCTCTGGGCCATCTTCCATGGGGGCTGCTGCCTCTCTCCGTGGGTAGGAACCGAATAAATGTTTATATGAACTTTAGATTTCATAATGTGTGGTGCTTTGGGGACCAGGTAGGACCCTGACACACCTCCTTGTGGACTCTGCCCCAGTGGCCAGGGTCAAGAAAAGCAGGAATTATTCCATTGCCCCAAAACAATCCTTGACCCCAAATGAGCCAGCCCATGCCACCCTGCTCTGGAGACCTTTGTGAGACAGCCCAAAGCTTGGGTGGCTGTGCTTGTCAGCCCTCTCCTAAGGAGGGACACTGTCCCTAGTGCAGGCTTGTGGTGTGGCTTCAATGCCTCTCTCTGCCTGTTATGAGCCCAGCTACTTAGACAAGGTCCAGGTGGAGACCAGGAGTCTCTGCTACTTGGTGTCTTTGAGAAAGGAGCCTGGCCTTCAAGGCCACTCTCCCCATCCCAGGAAACAATAAATTTTGCAGTTCTCATGTCCCACATAACCTCGGCTTGATCAGTCTTCTCTTGGCAGTTATCTGCAGGGTGGAGGAGGCCTGGAGCCATCAGGCCCTGGCTTGGCTATCTGGAATTAGAACCTTGCATGGGGCCCCAGCTGTGAGGGTCTGTAGCAGCCTAGTCCAAATGTTCTGGCTGCGTCAGCCCATGCAGCTTCAGGTGGTGGGCAGGGAGCTGCATGGTCCATGGGAGCTTCCTTGGTAAAGCTGGACCATCTACCTTCAGGGTTTCTCCTGACCAATCTGTCCCCTCTTCTACCTTCTGTAAACAAGTTTTTTGTTGTTTTTTTAAATAAACGGTGCCGATGTATTCACAAAAGTCCAAGTGTCTGTCTTGGTGTCTCTGCCTGTGCCCTGCCCAGGGCATGTCAAGGTCTCCTGGAGGTCCTCTCAGGACAAGAGGCCAGTCCAAAGGACCTTTCTGTTAGCTAACCCTTGTTCTGCATTGGAAACCTCAAGGCCACTGTGAGTGCCCTGTCCCCGTATAAGTCTGCATAGAGGCTCTCCCAGATAAAAGCCATCCAAAAGGATATGAGAAATATTTCATGGGTTGGATCAGTATTCTCAACCTCCTGCCCTGCAGACTGAAGCTCAGACCACTGGCTACTCTCCACTGGGTCACTTCCAGACACTCCAGGGGTGCCCTGCCCTGCCCTGGTAGCTCACCATCCATCTGCAGCCTGCGCCCCAGATCATGACTTCACCCTTTCACAATTTTTCTAGGTCTGGTCTCACCCCCAGTAGCTCCAGATCCCTGCCTGCCCCGATGCCTGACCTCTTAAGAGGCAAGGCTTTTCTGTCTCTGTGCCCAAACCCCTTCTCTCTTCCTGACCCATGATGCATGCCTCCGCCCATGAAACCTGACACCACCCACCAGGCGTAGAGCTGCCCAGGAAGCTGCCCTGACCTCTCCTCATGATGCCAGGCCCAGACCATTCTCGCACCACCCATAAGCATGCCCCCCACCCACCCCGGACACAAGATTGGCCACGCCCACAATGCCCGAAGCCACCCGCCTAGCTAAGGCAGGACCCCGCCCACAAGACCTGGCCACACCACAGTGATCTGGTTCCACCCACAACACCGGGCTCTGCCCTTACTCCCATGCCACTCAACTAAGCCCCACTTTCTTCAGACCTCGCCGCTGCTACGTGGTCCCGCTCCTTTCTCCTCCCGGAGGCCTCAGATCTAAAGGCCCGGGTAGGCCCCGCCCTCTTGGCGATGCCCCGCCCCCCCAAGCCCGCGCCGCCCGTTTCAGGCCCGTTGGCACCAGGCTAACAGCTTCACAACATCGGCGGCCCTGAACGCCGCT